AGCAGTGAGGAATATTACAGGTTCTCCACCGAACTTTAGGGTTGACGGTATAACACCAGGGGGCGGGCTCTCCATCCGGGTTCCTGCAGTAGTTGGATTGGTCGCTGAGATAAGTATATTTATGTGTGTTGGGGGTCTGGCTACTCCAAGCTTGACAGAGGTCTCCGGTATCCGCCACGTTATGTGTTCCGTAGTAGCGTTCTCCTTTGGGATCCGAGTTGGGTAGGCATTCTAGAGCTGGAGTCACTGTGAATGAGAAGTTATATGTGAAATTAACTTTAAGTCTTTTAGGCATACAATGAATAAATTTATTGACTTTATTAACAGTATTTGTATTTAAATAAATCTCACAAGTCATCATTTTCTGCACACGTCTGATCTATTAAATTTAATTGTTTTTTTTTAATTATATATGTAGTTTATATCCATATATTTCAGCAAACTATTTGACGGACGAAACCTTTCGACAAAGAGATTTTATAAAATAATTAAAAGTCACATTTGTTTCTAAGACTTATCTTTCTTTTATGAGTGTCAGTGGCGCCTTACTACAATGTTTCAACTCGACTGAGCAGTCGTAAGTGTAATATTCAAAAAAAATATTGACTATTTACCACAATCTGGAACACTGCAGGTCTCATAACGTTTATCAGTATCCATGGTGTAGCACCATGGGGCTGGTTCGCTGTCAGGATTCCTACAATAATTCTCGGGTAAGTCCTTTCCCACAGAATGTGAATGGGGAGTGTCTGACGCCCATGCCTGGCATGTCCTCCCCGATTTTGTGACGTTGATCTTCCCCCGATATTCCCAACCCGTGGTTGTTCTTTTACAATCGGCCTCCTCCACTTGATCTTAGAATTACATTTCAATTTGAAATTAAATGAAATAATATTAAAACCAAGTGAACATCAGTTAAATTTCCGAAATAACATTTGAAATAATTTCAAATGTCGACAAGAAATACGAGAATTTAAACATGAAGTGTAAACACTGATTAAATGGAAATACTGATGGACGTTACCTAAAATATTTAATAGTAGAATTAATATAACAAGTGTTAAGATTTAATTTTACCCTCTGTTTCACAATTATTTCCTTTAAATCCCTCCAGACATGTGCATTTATAGGACGTTCCATCCACCTCACAACTACCTCTGTTTTTACACGGATTAGGAAAACAGGGAGAATCCGCTACAAAACCAATCCAATATCACGTACATGTATCTTCATAGGTGTCAGAACCGGGGGGGGGGCGCTTTTAGCCCCCCCTCCCACTTTTTTGCAAAAATAGATATTATATAGGCATTGAAAATTGGGATTTACCTTTTTTGTTGATTTAGCCCCCCCCCCCCCCGCCACCTCATTCAATTTGCTTCCGAAGCCCATGTTCTTTGTGAACTTATTTTCTTTATACTATGTTAAGTTTAGTCTACATGTGTATACGCGGCTATTCCCTTTAGGGAAGCAGACAGGCTTACGCCTACATCCACTTCTTTTCGCAGATCTTCATGTTGTTACCGTATTCTGGAAAACGTTTAAAATGTAGAACCGTTGACGGCCTAACTTCTCTGAAAAAAGAAGTGGATGTAGGCAAAAATCTATCCACCTAAAATTCTTTGTTTAATTTAAATTTGTAAATTTACAAAAGGAGAAAATGTTTACGTTTTGAAAAGAAAAAATTACTACCACAGGATTTTATTGCACAGTCTTCCTTTGTTGGACCACTTTCTCCCTGAACGTAACACCATGGCTTAGATGACATATCAGGGTTCCTGCAGTAATTGACGTTTTCTTTCATTGAATCTGAAATTACGGCTTTTGTTAATTATTTTGTAGGAATCATTCAGCCGATTAGAAACATAAACATGTCTTGCTTTAATAAAACATGAAGAAAGTGTGGAAATTAAAAGGTTATCGAAAAAATGTACATTCTTGAGCATTAATCCGAGTTCTAGTCACTTGATTAAAAGCATGAACCTGTTTTGCTTAAGAATGCATGTAGAAAGTCTGGCAATTAAAGCTTATAAAAAAAAATGTACATCCTTGATCTAATAAAAATGCATTCGGAAATATGAAATTCGATATGGGGACATACCATCTGGCCAGTTTAGACAAGTTTTCCCAGAAGCCGATTTAGAAATAGTTCCAGCATAATCTAAACCAATTCCTGTCATAATACAGTCACGTTGAATTTTCTCTGTAAAAGGATGCATATAAAGAATTTATGACATAGTTCATTTATTCAAAAAGATCTTTATAAATGAAATAAGAAAGACTTTTTTTCCATTAAAATTGTATGGTGTCTTGAAAGTAAGAAAAAAATATACAGATTTTTTTAATATTGGTCTTCTTTCATTGCATTATATATTACCTAATTGACTTAACGTAATGGGCAAAAAGCATGAAGTTATTTGAACTTTTAAGATGACACTGAAATTACTAAAATATACAGTGAAGTAGCATCGTTATTGAAAGCGGGCAGCCAGATATTTTTATTTCCTTTCCAGAAAAAGTTGACAAGCCAAAAAAAAAGGAAGAAAGATAATTGCCTGAACTCGAAAATCCTATTTTCAACGCCACTTAAATTCCTTCAAAACCAAATTGTTTTGCCCTTACAGAATACAGTAGCAAAAGGGAGGGGGAACCAACTTTTCAATGAACATTTTCAATAGTCAGATTTATGTCTGGTAAAATAGCTGGGGGTCAGGCCCCCTGTCCACCCCTGTTGCTACGTGCCCGAAGTTATACACAAATCTACATTTAAATTCTTAACTAGTTATTTTAAATTACATCTGTACATTGCACAGTGCTTTAATTTAATTTCAAACATTTTTATTTTCGATATGAAGATCAAATGAAAATATTTCTTTCAAGCTACCCCAAATTGTCCCAATTAAAAACATTACAAAATCGACATATGTCATTGATCTTGTGTACTGTAAATCTTGAACTCTCCTTGAAATGTTATCTTCTTTTTTATTTTAGAATTACCTCGTCAATTCTTTCAAGCGTTTGTTAATAATTTACTCGTTCAACATTTTAATTTGGTGAATAATTACCTCGCACGGGACGGATGAAACTGTTTGCCTAGAACATCTAAATAATCAGTTTTATGAGCGGGTCTGTCATTTTTGTCCAGTTAACTATTTGTCCCGTTAGAATGTAGTGGAAAATAACTCTATCAACCCTTCCTCCTTCAAAAGAAATGAGTTTTTAAAGAATTTCCCATGGCCTTACCACATTGCTGTACATCACACAGCTCCCACCGAGTGTCGGGATCCTGTGTGTAGCACCAGGCGCCTGCGCTGTTGTCCGTGTTCCTACAGTAGTTCTCGTCCTTCACCAGGTTGTTATAGGAGTGGGTGTGTGGAGTCTGAGAGTCCCACCTCTGACAGGGGATGCCGGTCTTAGTATGGCTGACCGTCCCGCTGTAGTCCGCTTGGTTTGGTGTGTAGGCACACTCAGTTGAAGCTGTTATAAATTGAAATCCTTATTTACTTCATTGCTTATGGAACATTTAAAATGATTTTGATAGTGTAAGTACCGTTTCTAAAAAATAATAATAAGCAGATTTTTTTAATATCTTTTAATTAAATAATAAAAATAAGCATTTTTTTTTGCCTTTTTTGGAATTCGAGTGCAGAGATGAATTTCCTAGATCCATCAAAGTTGATCAAAAGTATTATTGACTTTTTTTGGGAAAAAAAATGATAAAAAGTGGAGTTTAAAAAACACATTAACTGTTCAAGTATTAGACAAGGCCAAACATGTTTACATGTGTTTTTTATTCAGAATTCAAGAACTTAAATATTCAGGACTTACCGCAGTATGGGACATCACACCAGTCCCATCTCGTTGATTCAGAGGTCGTGTAGCACCAGGGTTCAGGCTCGTCAGCGATCCGACAGAAGTTAGACTGGTCAGCCAGGTAAGCGTACTCTTCAAAGAAAACATCAAGATCAAATTGTACATTAATTACAATTTACATGTTCTCAATTTATCTTAAGGTATTCAATGTATAACGACCATATTTTGTACCTAATAAATTGAATGGTGTGATATTTTTTATCATGGTAGCATAATGAAAATGTTAACGAATAAAAATGCTCCACCAAAGGAATTTTGCTTATTGTCCAAATAATTGCACCTTGAGTTTTACATTGAAGTCTATGGGCAGAACATGTTTTTTGTAAGATATTGTAAAAAGTAATATGAATTTCAAAGAAATCTCTTAGTGAAAATATGCATAAACTCCCTCTTTATTAAATTCTGAAATAAAACGAATGATGTACCGCAGAAATTGTGAGAAATTAAACATTTTCTAATTATCATCAAGGGCAGATCGCTCTTCAAAAACTTTTAAGGTATTCAATCCCTAATAGGAACAAATTCAATGAAATTGAATACATAACAGATGTGTAGGCATTCAATACTCAGTTTATTCAGAAATACTTCCCATTTATTACTATTATTATGCATTAGTGGGGTGTGTCCTAATTTATGACCTTGAATTTTGGATTTATTGATATTCAAATTATTTGAATTTTTATTTTGAAAAAACGCTTTTTCCCATAGACTTCAATGCAATCTTTTTTAATTAACTACTGCTTAATTAATGGAATTTTTGAAACTTTCTCGCGGGCAATCTTTTTCCACTATAAAATGCTTTAATATAATATCAGAGTATCTGTATGATGTACTTGACGGACATTTAAGGGTAGAGAATTTGGTCCCATTAGGGATGGAAATCCTTAACGTGCAAAATGACCGTCTCCTAACATGTTATCAGTCTTTTTTGAATTTGGTTCATTTCACTTTAATTGTTATCTAAAAATGTGTTTTAAACTAGTTTAAAATAATATTAAGTTGTTAAAATCTCCTTACTATATACATGGAATACCTTAACAAAATCATATTATCACCATGTATAAGTGTTTGCGATATATAAAGTTTGCTCAAACTTCAATAGTCTTAAGTTAGATATTTTCATCGTCGGAAACCCACGGGTGATCTCGTCTTTACTTATTACCCGTGGGCAAAGTCGCCGAAAAATCGTCGTATGTAATTAAATATGCATGGGTCATTTGATTGGCCGCATCACAGATTCGCGATGCGAAACAACGAATCACAGTTCACGTTACGTATGCATGTTCGGCATTGTCAAAAACATGAAAAACTCATTCCGTAGTTAATACAGCTGATAAATCCACTCACCGGTGCATTTTGCAATTAGAAAGAGGTACTCCTTCATAATATCTGACGGATATTAATGTCAGTGACCTGCACGAATTGATTTTCATTGTTTTAAATCAAACTTCGCACGTTTTAAAGCGTCAAAATATTTACCATAAATAGAAAAGTAATAAACCTATTTTTCAAAATTGAAGAGTTCCAACTTTCTGATTGGTTGACTAAAAACAACAAATTAGCATATTTTACGGCGATATTTCAGTGAGTTTGCCCACGGGTGATAAGTGAAGACGAGATCACCCGTGGGTTTCCGACGATGGATATTTTTAAATGCAGTAGGAGTTAATTACTTGACGTTATTGAGTGTGGTTCGTTAGCAGCCCAGGCTTGACACGTGATCCCGCCTTTTGTGTAGGCACGTGTACCCTCATACTCCTTTCCCGGTTCAATACATTCTTTTTTAGTGTTCATGTCTGAAAAGAAAAGTAAAATTTATATTTCGCACAGTATCTTTTTTAACGTTTTATAAAGCCTTTTTTCGCTTAAACTATCTTGTACCCGCAATATTCTATATGTACCCTCTTTTAACCTGTTAGAACTATAAAACTAAATTCCTATATCTATTTGTAACGTTTGATCCATCATGGAACTGATACGAAATTAGTTTTAAGTCTGAGTCCTTTCATTTTCAATGGCGATTTCAAGCTCAAACAGCTTAGTTTACAAAGATAGATTCTAAAGTTTTCATACAAAGGTGAATAAGATGCAGCATGGTTAATATATTGAGGTCGGAAATACACTGGTGTATTTTAAGGTTATATCACCCCACCCTCCACTTCTACACTATACAGACTGAGTAACCAAGAAATTGTGTTCCTTCAGTTTGACTTCCTTTATTATACAGCAGTACTCACCACACTGGCCCACCTCCCACGTGATCTCATCTAGCGCTACGTCACTATCCCACGCATCTCCTGTAATGGCCTCAAATGACAGCTAAAAAAATTTGAAACAAATTCTTTTTATTCAAAATAGTTCCAATCTGAAATTTCATTTATGATTCTCTATTTCACAAAGCAATATGTTCTGGAAATTGAGAAATTTTTATTGTATTGCGGAATATTAAGTATAGCAATATCATTTTTAACATTTACACGCAACCCAGACCCCAAACGAAAATCCCCTTAACCCCCCCCCTTCCAGAAAAAAATCAAGGAAAACAAAGATTATTGTAAATTGAATATGAGATATTGGTCTTGACATATTACAAAGCATCTGTTAGGAATGCTTGATCACTACAAAATTGAACTACACACTAAAAATTTCAATTCATTTACGTTAAGGACACCTTACATGTTATTTAATTAGAACTTTTAAGTGTTCAATGTAAAAATGTTTAAGTACAAGACGATTCGATTTTATACTTTTAGTCCTGCTGTTGCCGGAACATTAACTTTCGCCGTCAGCCAATCAGATCCTTGGTTTCCTTCTTTGGTCCACAGTGAGGTCTTAGCTGCGTTTGTTCCCTCGGAAAATAGCGACAGCTTGTAGACGTTTCTTCCAAACATGTTGTACGCAAAAGAAAGACAACCGCTCTTCTCTGTTATCAATGAAAGGAAGCTAAATTTAACGTGCATCCATGCACTTTATCGTGCAAATATTAATCAGCAAAATGTTTTAGCAAATAAATGGAAAGAAAAACGAATTTGAGATTCAGGATTCTTGATTCTTTCCATCGAATACTGTGAAAAGAGGCGTTGATATTCAAACCATTTGGCTTAAATCAAGTGATATGTTACAATGTACCTGGTAAGGATATTTTTGTTTTGTAAATGGCCTTATCCCCGGGTTTCCTGGGTAAAGACATTTCAGCAAATAAAAATCTATGCCCCCTGTAGGCCTCCTCCGGCCCCGTGCTCGTGGACAAACTATGTTTCTGTAATTAATGCAGTGTTATCTATACATCTGTAAACTATGTATAGCGTAAAACTTGTTTTATCCGGATAGTAACAACAGTATGTTACAAGATATTTGAAAGAAAGGGAATTATATGAAGAGAACATTCAATGTACATTGTATAAGACTTGATTTCTGAAAATAAAACATTCTGATTATACATTTATCACCGTTTTGGTTTTTGAAATCTATTTTCTCATACTATGCTTTCTTTGTGAGATAGTTTTATAAATTAAGCGTTATCTACATGTAAATCATTATGAATTTAAAGAATATACAATGTATCTAGTTATCATAATCTATGCAAGTAATTTAACAATTTTTCTCTCAAAGTCCAGCATCATGGTTTATTTAATTAAATAAAGACACAAGATTCGAAGTAACTTTTGAACATATTTTGATGTATTTTCCGTATGTCCTCAATATCTTTTGTATATGAAATGTTAGAAAATGAAGTACAATATAAATGTATAATTTGGTAAAGGGAAACATAATTTGAAAAGTAATTAAAAATAATAAATAAATAAATACGTACAAAACCAATACCCCATTCAAAGTCATCACCCTCCTGGATATTACTGAAGAAACACTTCTCAAACCTCTCAAAAGTACATTTAAGTTGAGCATCATCTACAAAAAAAAAATAAAATTTCTGCCACTAACGAAAATCAAATAAGATCTAGATTTTTCCCTCAGTATCATTAATACGCGATATAATGCAAATTTTTTTCTTTATTACTGATAATAAATAAATAAAGACTTTCAAATCATTACAATTCTGACCTGTTGTTCATATATATTTTTTTGTCTTTGTTATACTTGTTTTTGAATAAATAATACAAAACAAAGAATTTCAGTCTCTTTATTTGGTCAATCCATTAACACTTTACAACTTACTGTACTGTTATGCAACATACATTGAATGTTCACGTCATGGAAACAGAAATTTACCATTTCCCCGCAAGCACCTTTTAGCGTGGTACACGTTTCTCTAAAGTTAAGCATAAATAATATTATGACGCTATATTTCAATACAAAAATAACTTTTCTTATTTGATGAGATTTTTGCAAGTATAAAATAGAAGGAAATAGTCATTAAAGTAATGATTAAATGAACTTTTTAAAGTGCGTGAAAATGCGTGATTGCGGGGAAACGGTATATGCGTGACTTTGCGTTAGAAATAGGAAATGGTATATGCGTTAAAATGCGTGACTGTGGGGAAGGGGGTTAATGTAAAGATTTAACAGAGAGACACTATGATAACCTTAGGTCGGTAACAGACAATCTGTATTATACAACCCCATCCTACCTACATCTCGACCACAGCTTGGTCAATAACAAACTTTATCTGTATTATATGAACCACCCTACCTATAACTTGGTCACAGTTGTCCCCTGTGTACCCGGGCTGACACACACACTTGTACTGACAAGCCCTGGTCTGGGAGGGAACACACACGCCGTACTGACACAGATTGTCCCTACAAACTAAAGATAAAATAAGACTGTAAAGTAATGCAAAAAGCAAACTGAATTTAAAAAGTAATTTTAATAGTAATACAGTAAAACTATCAGCAAGTTTATTAAAACCTTACCTTACTTCAATAAAAGTGCTCTTACAAAAGTCCAGATTCTCTCATTTATTATAAGAAACAGCTCTTTTCACAAAATATTCAGAACGATAAATACTTAACAAGTTTGTGCTTTTTATGAAATATTTTTTCTACAATGTCGTTTTACGCAATAAAAAAATAGATTTTATGTCCTACAAAAGGTTAGATACTTTTAAAGAATGGGTTATTAACTTTGTTTGTGAGATGTTAACTGAAAAAGGCCACAGGCGGGTCTTTTTTATTAAATATACCTTCTTTTTCTTTTTCAAAATGAAGTTTGAATCCCTTGTGTGTGACCCTGCTGCCCGCAAATTTGGTATCCATGGTAACGATCATTAACGTTGGTGAATCGACTGATCCTTGATAAAGTCTCTTTATATTCTTAGTGTAGTCACAACGCCTACCAATAAATTAAATTATGATCAGTTTAACAAGTCTTTTGAATGTCAATGCAACAGTACTATTTTCATGTAATCATTGCATCACTTCTTTGTGTCGTATGTTTGTTACAATGCTCATTTGATCAGTACGACTTTGTTGTATTTCATTTTAAGGAAAGGCATTTGCATTTGTGCTCAGGACAAAATCGCATATCCGTAAAAATGTAAGTCAGTGTGACTATAACAATGTCATGAAGTTTTTTTGCCAAATATGAAAATTATAAAAGAATGTTGCATTACCATGTTTTTTTTAAATGATTAAGATTGCCATTCAATGACCCGTTTAACCTTCAATTACAAATCAGTTGATTTCAAGATGTAAATTTATAGTCACTGTGTGCATTTTACTTAATTGAGTTATCAAAAATTTAGGAGGACAGCATTATCAAAAATTTCACAGAAATTTCTATACAATTAAGTTTGCACAACACCTAACGAGTGTTTTAATTTGCCAGATTATGCTATCTTAGTGTGCCGGGTTGACCTGGAAGTTATATTGAATGTCCAACCAATGGTAACATCGTACTGTTTTCATAGGCCATGTGGAGGTCATCTATTGTCATCTTTATTATGTAACCTTCTGGTCCCTGTAATGTATAATTTATTAATTGATGCATATGCTTTTGAAAATTTACTGCAACTCATCAGTTTCATTTTTAGTAAAGCCAGCAGCAAATCGGTGTTGATATCTTCATAAATATCATAATTTTTATTTAAAAACCGAATATCACATAAGATAAAAAAGACATAGTGCTCAGATAAAAATTATTACATTACATTAGTTAAACCTCAGTAAAAAAAAAACCTATTGTTTTGCATAGGCTACGTATTTACGACTTGTGGGGAGGACCAATGTAAGTATGAAACCGTAGATAATTTTTTTGAAGTACCTTAATCAGCAATCTTGCAAATTTTATGACATGTCCAATAGGGCCGGGATAATTTTTGTGATTAAATGATCCAAAACAAGATTGTCTCCTTCAATAAACATATTTTTCCACAATCTGATAATAATATGAACACGTCAGTTTTTTTTAATGACAAAAAATGAAGTTGAACTAATTGGCTTTTGATTGTTGTAACTTTTAAAAGAATGTTTGTTTTACTTGAATTTCATATACAAGTATCATTAAAATATGTTTACTTGAAATTTCTATAAATAAGTTTTTTGCTTAATGAGAAATTTTAATTTTCTATGTGACGTTACCGGATGCCGGGTTGACCTGGAAGGTTATACTGTATCTCCAACCAATGATAACATCGAACTGTTTCCGGGTTATAGGCCATGTGGAGGTCATCTATTGTCATTTTTATTATGTAACCTTCTGGTGCCTGTAATGTTTAATTTATTCATTGATGCATCTGTTAAGAAACTTTACTATAACTCATTAGTCTCATGAAAGTAAAGCGCAGCAAATCGATGTAGATATCTTCATAAATCAATCATAATTCTTATTTAAAACCGAATATCGCATAAATAAGATATACATGACATAGTGTTCAAATAATAATCATTACATTACATTAGTTAAATCTCAGTAAAAAACTTTTTTTTTGCATAGGCCACGTATTTTAAACTTGTGATGAGGAACAATGTAAGTATGCAAATATGAAAATTTTCTGAATTACCTTAACTGCCCATCTACAAATTTTGCCCTGTCCAATAGGGCCGGGATAATTAGGTGATGTGACTGATACATCTTTGTTTGGCTCCAGGACAAGATCTGTCTCCTTAAGATAAATGTATCCTCCACAATCTGATAATAATATGAACATGCAAGTTTTGGAACAAAAAATGTCCTTTACTGGCTCTCGCAAGATAACTTTCAACAGTTCACACATATAAATATCGAGGGTAATAATATGTTTAGTTAAAATCTATGTAACACAAAAGAAATAAGAAGTCAAACGACTTTCGATAAGATTATTTTTTTATATGAAACATGTGCAGTTCTAGAAAAAAAAAGTTATAGGGGAATACGTTTTACAATTGAAATGCGGTAAACTTGTCCTTTATTTCAAAGTGAAACACTTTACATGTTAAAAAAAATCGTGAAAGGAAGAGAATTGTTAATAACAAAATTTGAATTAAAATATAATATGGTTCTAACAGTGGTCACATTTTCCAGCATTTTAGGACAAGAGCACTTTTTTAAAGACCGATTCATCACAAATTTTTAATAAAATGTTTTCAATTTAATTTAACTTTAACACAAGACTTGTAGACTTTGCTTTAAAAAAATGTTAAATCTGACAATTTTAGGAATGCATGCAGTTGACTTCAAGTTGTCTTAGTTTACGTTAAATGCACCTACAATTAATTTAGTTCTATGTCAAGCTGACTTCCAAGATACAACTAATGTGCAAATTTTTATGTGTTTGTTTACTATTATAAATTGTGTTTATTTATAAAATTGTTTGTTTTTACAAGGTTTTTGTTTGTTTTTACGAGGTTTCGTGTGTGTTCATTACCAGTGTTTCTGTGTCTGTCTGTTGACAGCTATAATTTGTGTTTGTTTAAAACATTGTTTTTGTGTGTGTATTACGAGGTTTTGTGTTTAAGAAATAAAGTTGGCGTTTTTGTGAATGTTACAGGATACCGAGGCGTTAGCCCAGGCTTTTATATTTCAAAGAACATTTCGAGACGGGGGAGGTTATCATCATTCACGACAACAAGGACTTTATTTCTATTCTGCTATGATTGCTAAAATACGGCTGAGCGTTTCCACTACAGAGAAACGAATTAGGTCACAATGTCTCGATTACGCTGTTCCATTTAACACCAGAGGAAGAATTTGTTTGCTTACCTGTGTTTCGAATAAAGACGATTTGAACTTTCGTTGCATTAAAAATAGACGTTTTTAATTACAAATTTGTTCGTTATACATGTATGTGTCGATTAATTTAAATGAATACACAATAACAAAATCATGTTCCTACATATTTCACTGCTTTATTGGAACTAAAATCACGTTGTTTAAATGTGTAGGGAGGTCCGTGGAATACCCTTGCTAAGCTATAAAACCGACATTCATTAGAAACTTTATGCAAATTTACGGTGGTTAAACGGCAAAAGACGACACATCGATGTGGTCTAAACAAGTATTTCATTCTACAGCCAAACATGCATTTGAATTTTTCAGGTTTGATACGTATTTATGATCTAATAATTTTTTGATGACGTTCGTGACTTATTTGGAGAATAATGTCCGCGGCATTTCTTTGATCTCGGCAATAATCGTGGTAATTGTTCATAAAATATTTGGAGATAAAAAGGTATTCAAATTCAAATGTATATACAAATGTTACAAAATTTTGTTCGGACCTTCAAATTACATCAGAGTTTGTTTATTACCAGTGCATTCGTACTGAACACCCGCAGTGTGCTTTATATCGTAGAAGGAGAAGATCAATTTGGTTACTTGGGGCCTCAAGGAACAAGAGTTTTTTGTCTTTTAAATCCACTGTTGTTTTCATCGACCATATAACTTAAAAAGAAATGATGACTTTAAACAAAACTGCTTATTTTTGTGTTTCTAATAAACGCTGCAAAAATTTATTTATTTTTTCACGATCCCTTAAATTAAATTTACAAGAAAGTACGCTTCTAACAGTGATGTGAAACACCCCTTGATCTCGCCTTGTAAATGTCTGAGTTTAATAAACATACCGTGTAGCCATACTGCATAACACTTCCAACATCATAAGGGTTCCGATTGTATGTCAAGCGTCTGTAGAAATTATACTTCATATCGGGATCGATGTTCTTCCAAACAATCCTGACATACCTATCCCGATCACTTCGAGACTGTTCGTGTCTTTGTCCAAGCCTGTGCAACATTTCGTGGACCGCTGTACCGACCTAAGTATGTGATTATTGAAAAGAAAGCTGTAATGTCTATCTTAAGGACTTGAAAAGTACGTTTAACACTATTGGTTAGCATCTTTAACTGATTTTACTGAACTGACAACTAACAACAATATTTTTTTACTGTGTTACATACATGTAATTATAGGGAAGAATATGCCTTTTAACACATTGAATCAAATTGTTCTTTTCAATTATAGCTTTAAAAAAATATTTTGAGTTTCAGCAAAATTGCATTACCGATCCACATCCGGGTTCTGCTAATGTTATCACGTGTTCATCATTCCCGTAGAAGCCAACACCGGAACTACATCCTGAGCCACTGAAACAGTACAGGTTTTTTAGTTCACTGAGATTGATTTAAGAGTTACAGTATATACATGTGTATATATCACTAATATTTTAGGTATCATGCTCCATATTCAGATTATGCTTATTTAGATGTGTGACATATATTGTGAAACACCCTGTATATATACATGTGTATATATCCCTAAAATGTGAAGAAAAAAATCCGGTGTTTCTGTGATAGGTTTTACATGTCAAGTTCAAATTCCCTGACTGACCTTTGAACTCGAACATATCCCGTATGAACTTTTCCCTTTTTGGGTCCCTTTGGTTAGGAAAAAAAATTTTCTTAATTTTGCCCCCCCTTTAATTTTTTCCAGCCCAAAGAAAAGTTAAATACTAATTTTTG